GGAGGGAGGAAGTCTGTGCCCTGCTCACCGGGAGCTGACTCACAGGGCGCCTGATGGGGGGCTGGCCTTTCGAGGCGGGGATGGGGGTAGGACGGGACACAAAAGAGGGCCTTTGGCACAGAATCTGCCCTTTGAGAGCTGGCACTCTGGTATCTTCTCACAGGAGGGCCCAGAGAGAGTGATGAGTGTGAGGAGAGATGCACAGGAGCGGGAAGCTTGAGCACACCCCTCCCGATACTATGAAGTGGCATGGTCAGCGGTGGGGAGGGGGTTGGGGGAGGTCCTCACTTGAAGGAAGAAGTCCCATGCTGAGACAGGCAGGGGGTGGCGTTCAGAGAGTCTTGGCTTTCCCCACTCCTGGCTGGGTCAGTGGCCGGGGTGTCAGGCTGAGGGTGGGGGCAGAGGCAGCTGGAGGACAGTTCCTGTTCTGGCAGCCTGATAAATGTCCCTGGACACTAGGTGACTTCGAGAGGGTGCGTCAGGGCCCTGCTGGCTCCGCTGGTCCAGAGCAGAACCCACCCCTCGGCCTCCCCAGGGCCCCGGGGCCCTTGCTCCCTGCTTGCCCCAGGCTTCTCCAGTCTGACCAGTGTGAATGGTGTGGAAGGGCAGGGAGCTGCCTGCCAGGCCATGTGTGTTGGCGTCCCCTAGCTCTTTGGGCCTCCCTGGGCATGGGGTCCAGGCTGCTAGAGAAGTTGGTGCTGTGGGTGGGAAAGACAGAAACGCTCCCTGTGGCCCGGAGTCAACCCCGAGGCCTCCTGGAGGAGGTGTTTCCCTCCGAAGGTGTGAGACTTCCTGCCCAAGTGTCTGTGAGCTGGAGGAGGGCGGGGGCTCCAGACTGGCTCATTTTAACTTCATTCACCACAGTTTAAAATCTCCCCAAGCCTTGGCAGGTGGAATTCCCCCAGGTGGGTAGAGGCCTTCTTTGCACCTGAGCCTGATGATTAAGGGAACCGTACGCTCCCCAGGTTCGCTCGTTACACAGGGTGATGGGGCAGAGCGGGGCTGGGAGCCCCCGTCTCTGGAGCCACGGCTTGGAGTGGGCCCCACAGCTCAGAGCCAGGCTCTTCCCTGACTTGACAGCAGCTCAAGGATCCCCCAGGATGGACAGGCGTGAGCGGGGACAGCAGGCACGGGCTAAGGCTTCATGGCCCTCCTTTGTGACCCTTGGCTGACTCTCCGGTGGACACAGTTGTTCTGAATTCAGGGTCATGAGAGGCAGGATCCCCCGGCCCGGGCCCTCAGATGGGTGTGGGGCGCGCTGCCCTGTGTGTTTGCTATGAGGCCTGGGAGGATGGGCGACACCAGGGTGCCCCAGGACGTGGTCCTGCCGCTCCACATCGTCTCATCCTCGGCCCTCAGCCTGGTATGGGGTCAGGGGAAATCCTAGAGCCCCCACAGTGGGACCCCTGCCCCAGGAGCCCAGGCTAAGCAGGGGGACAGACCCCCCGGATTTACAGGCCCTCTGTGTCCCCCTGGCTGCCCAGGCCCCACATGCTACAGGGGGGACAGAGTGCCCCAAGAACCCCTCCCCACCCCCCAACCTAAGCCTGAGGGCCCCTGGGAGTCCCGGATGATGATGACCGCTTCCTGCCAGCAGCCCTTCGGCCCTGACCCCTGGGCCGGCCGGACCTCATCAATCGCTCTCCTCCCGGCCTGGCCCACAGTAAGTGCTCAGTGAGCGGCTACCCACTGGGCTGTGGCCCAAGGAGGGGACCTCCTTCCCTCGGCCTGGCTGCTCGCCTGGCTACGCCACCTCCCCAGCCTGGCCTCCCCCGCTAGGGCCACAGTCGAGCGCTCTGCTGGCCATTTCCTGCCAGAACTGCCTCTTCCCTGAGAAGCCCTTTTGTTCGGGCCCCCGTGACACCCCCTGCCCGGCCCGGCCCACGAGGCCAGGCTCCCTGGAGCTCCTTGTGGCAGGCAGGCCTGACCTTCTCCGGAGCTGGAGGGTCTCTGTTCTAACAATAATAGTAACAAAATAGCAACAGCCCATGTTTCCCCAGCCCTGTGCTGAACGCCTCAGAGACATCACTTCTTAGATGCTCCTGGCGCACAGTGAGGGACAGACATCAGCCCATTTTACAGATGGGGATGCTGAGGCTCAGAGAGGGAAGCACCCTCTTCTGCATCACACAGCGAGGAAGTGGCGGAGGTGGGACGTGGACCCAGGTGTGGTTGGTAGCTCCACCATGCACAGGGCGTCCGGGGGGTGGGGGTGTCTCGGTGGGCTTCTCAGAGCCTCACTGCCTTTCCTGTCGGTCTGTGCGGTCAGGAGTGTGACTCCAAGAGCATGGCTGTCAAATGGCAGCCGCCTCAACCCTAGGAGCTCACTAATTCATAAACTGCTATTTCTGGAGCGCCTGCTCTGGCCAGGCCCACCCTGGGGTGTGAGCCAGAGTCAGATGCCTCTCAGCCCTCCGAGCAGGGGGATGACCAGGGAGCTGTATTGCTCAGGTTCTCTTGCCAGTGGAGCAGGCCAGGTTCTAATCCTGCTCTGCCCCTCACTGGCCGTGGGACCCTGGGCGAGCCACTCCTCCCATGCCTCGATTTTCTCATCTATAAAATGGGTATTACACAAGGCCTCCTCCCTCCAGTGGGGATTAGGTGAGTAAATATGCTATGCACTGTCCAGCACAGAGCAGGGGACCTAGAAAGCCTGAAATACGTCATTTATTATTATTTCTGGTTTTAAATTTTTATTTATCTTTTTAATTGAGATATAATTGACATGGAACGTTCTGTTAGTTTCCAGTGTACAACATAATCACTACATTTATAGTGGTGGTCCTTTCTCAACATACACAAGTATCGGATCCGCAGGTTTTAAAGTGTGTACCCTGTGGCTATTTTCCTGACTACCTGGTGGGTCTCGGGCCTGGTTGGAGGAGGGTGCCTCCTGACTCCAGCAGGAGCGGACTGAGACCTTTATATCCCCTCGTCTGGATCCCACTCATTCATTCAACAAACAGTCACTGAGAAGTGAATCCTCCTTGTAGGCTGCATTTGGGCACTGATCAGGCACTTCGGGGGTGCCTTCTGTGTGGGGCTTCCTTAACCACTAGCTGTGGGAGCTCTCCGGGCTCCCGTTGCTCCATCTGTAAAGTGGGAGCAGTCATCGGCCCCGCCCACTGGGGCTGCTGCGAAGCGTGGGAGCGCTGGCGTTCCGCAGAAGCAGTTAGAGAAGCGTGTGCTGTGGAGCAGGCGCTCTTCTCCCGGGAGCTGGCGTGGCCCTGGGGGGAGGGCGCCCTGCATCACCCGGGCTGTGAGGCAGCGTGCTGTGGGCAGCTGTTCGAACGAGGCTCCTGCCAGGGGTTGGCCCTGCAGTTAGACTTGGGGACTCTGCCATGTGCAGTGGACAGGGACAGGTCTTCCAGGCAAAGGGACAGACAGGGACAGAGGGAGGCCCAGGGTGCCCACGAGGTAGGTTGGCCCAGCAAGAGGTGGCTGTTGCTGGCTACTGGCTGCCACGCATCTGCCAGAGGAGCCAGAGGTTGCAAATCCAACTGACCTCTTGCATTCATACATTCATTCATTCAGCAGGCATTTATTGAGCTCTTGCTGCATACTGGGAACTGGATGGGGCAGGGAGCGGCTCCTGGCTCATGGAGCTCACAGTCTGGTGGAGAGAGAGTCGCTAATTAAATAGTCACAGCTATTGAATGATGGCACGTGACCAGCATGCTGAAGGACCAGTTCAGGACTCGGCTCAGCGTGTGAGCTCAGAGAGGGCTCCTCCTGTGTGAGACTGTAAGCCGCTGAGAGCAGGCAGGGCAGAGGGGACTCCCAGTGCAGTCTCCCAGGGGCAGCCGGCACAAGTGGGCACAGATCACATGGGGTCTCATAGGGTGGCAGGAGCTTGGGTCTGAGATCTGAGAGCCCTCTGGTCCCCCAACCTAGAGGACAGTGCCTGCCTCACTCGTGTCAAGGTGTGGGTGTGGTGGCCCATGTGTGCAGGTAAAGCCCTCTCTTTTTAGCTGCAGGGGTGTTTTCTTGGCAGAGTGTGGGGTCAGGGGCACCCGTGGTCCCTCTCCCTTCCCTTCTGCCTGGCACCTTTTATTGGCTACCTACTGTGTGCAAAGTGCCCGCTGTGTGCAGGTGCCAAGGACCAATGGTGTGCAAAAACGTCAGCTGTGTGCGGCGCGCCCTCCCAGCTGGAGCAGCAGCGCCTCCTCGGCGCTGTCTGGGGCGTTCTGCTGCAGTCAGCTCCAGGGTCTCCACCGTGGCCTGGAGATGGCAGGGGCAGCCCTCATGTCCCACAGCTGCCTGCAGGTCTGCCCAGCGTGACAAGGTCGCACAGAGAGAAGGAGCCTGTGGAGTCAGATGTGGCTGAGGGAACCTCAGTCTCCAGGTTCAGCTCTCCACCTTCAGTGCCCTCTCAAGGACTCCTTACAGCCATCCTAGGAGAGGGAGACCATGCTGTCCCCGTTTGACAGATGAGGAAACTGGGCTCAGAGAGGTCCAGCCAGGTGTGAGGCCACACAGCAAGTGTGTGTGTAATGTGTGTGTGTGTGTGTGTGAGCCCCAGGAGAGCAGGATTTCTGTCTCTCTGGTTCACTACTGCATCCCCAGGGCCTCGCACAGTGGCTGGAGCACAGGAATGTCCTAGTGATGGGGGATGAATCAGCAGTCACGATTCTGTGGTCCTCAGCAGGGGCCCAGGCCCAGCCAGGCTTCCCTGGGAGGAAAGACAGTCCTGATGGTACCTAGCGGCCCGGGATTCAGCACCGTGGACAGCAGAGGTGGGGGGCTTCTGGCCTCTTCATCGTGTGGTGCCTGGAGAAGGGTCCTGTGTCCTGCGTCCCCCCACCACCCCTGGCGAAGGGATGGGCAGGCAAGGCACTGTCAGTCCTGACATTCCTCTGTCAGAGCAGGAAGCTCCTGTGCACCCCTTGTGAGTCTTGTTAATTTTTCCTTTTTATTCGTTGTTTTACATTTATTTTTATTGACACCAATACTACTCTCTCATTGTAGCATTTCAATAACAGGACAGCAGCTAGCCCATGTTAGGCTTCTCCTAGGTTCTGAGGCCTTTGCATTTATTCACTCAGTTAATCCTCATGACACTCCCATGAGACAGGTACAGCCATGGGCCCCATTTACAGAGAGGGAAATGAAGGCAGAGAAACCGAGTGACTCGCCCACGGTCACACAGCTGGCAGGTGGTGGTGCTGGGATCTGGGCCAGGCTCCAGGCTCTGTTCTGAACCGTGTTTTCTAGGGACAAGTAGTAACAGTCTGGCTTGGTTACTTTTGCCTGCAGCACCCAATTCTGGTTCCTCCCCACAGGTCACCCCTGTTTCTGGAGGGGTCTGCCCCAGCACGGCCCTCCTGCCCGCCACTGTAATACACTTCTGCATACCAACATGCGGGAGTTGGGTTTCTGTGTTGGTGTAAATGGGATCGCAGTGTGTGTTGTTCCGCGCTGTGCCTTTCCCTTGGTGGGATCCTTGGGTATCTCCCCGAGGTGGTGGCAGACGTCTTCCTCATCCTTTCCCACCGTGGCAGAATGCTCCAGCCTGCGCCACAGTTTCTCCCATCAACCTCAGTCTGATGGGTTGAGGTCGCTGGAGCGGGAAATGTCTGGTCAGGGATTGTCCCGCGCATCACTCTCTGCACGTGTGAGCAGGGATTTCTCCAGAGTCCTTAAAAGTGGAATTACCGGGTCTGAAACTGATCCTGCCGAATTGCCCTCCCAAAAGGCTGTGGCCCTTAACCGTAGGGCGAGCCTGCAGGGGACCGCCCATGGCCCCGCGTCCACCAGCGCTGGGTTTGCTGAGAGATTTCCGATTTTTGACGTTGTGTCTGGTGAACGACGCGTCCCGGAGGGGGTCTGGAGTCATCATCTGCTCACCTGCCTGCTCCCTCCCTGTCGCCCACCCCACCGTGTCTTTCAGCCTGGCCGCGCCACCTCGCTCTCCGCCATGAACGGGCCCACCCTGCAGCCCTCCTCGGCCTCGTCCGCGTCCTCCGCCTCGTCGCCCGCGGCGTCCCCGCGGGGCTGGAGCGAGTTTTGCGAGCTGCACGCGGTGGCCGCGGCCCGGGAGCTGGCCCGCCAGTACTGGCTCTTCGCCCGCGAGCACCCGCAGCACGCGCCGCTGCGCGCCGAGCTCGTGTCGCTGCAGTTCACCGACCTCTTCCAGCGCTACTTCTGCCGCGAGGTGCGCGAGGGCCGCGCGCCCGGGCCGCCGGGGCGCGACTACCGGGAGACGGGCCGCGGGCCCCCCGCCAAGGCCGACGCGCCCCGCGCAGAACCGGGCCCGGGCCCCGGCGCGCCCAGCCTGCCCAAGGCCCGCAGCTCGGAGGAGCTGGCCCCGCCGCGGCCGCCCGCGCCCTGCGCCCTCCAGCACCTGCGCCACAGCCTGCGCCACTTCTTCCGCCGCCGCTCGGCCGGGGAGCTGCCCGCCGCGGGCGAGGCGGGCGAGGCCCCCGCCAGGCCCGGCCTGGCCAGGAAGCTCCTGCCCTGGAGCCTGGCTCGGGAGCCGCCGCCCGAGGCCCTCAAGGAGGCGGCGCTGCGCTACAGCCTGGCCGACGAGGCCTCCATGGACAGCGGGGCGCGCTGGCAGCGTGGGCGGCTGACCCTGCGGCGCGCCCCCGACGGCGCGGACCGCGTGCTGGAGCTCTTCGACCCGCCCAAGGTAAGCACGGCCGCGCAGGCTGCGCACTGAGTGAGCAGTACCCAGAGCGCGCACATGGGCAGGACGGTGACAGGTTTCCAGCAGGTGCCCGCAAAGCGCCCAGAGGAAATCACGCCTTGTGAAAAGTGAACTTTTTCTTTTAGAATAATTTTGGGTTACAGAAAAGTTGCAAAGATAGTGGAGTTCCCTTATATACCGCACCCAGCTTTGCCTAGTGTAACCTGTTCCCTTACTGCCTACACGTCTTCACTAAGGAACCGACCGTGGTGCATTGCTAGTAACTAGACAGTTTTTTTGGATTCTGCTAGTTTTTTCCTCATGTCCCTTTTCTGTTCCAGGGCACCATATTAGATTTAGTTGTCAGGCCTCCTGAGGCGCCTCTTGGCTGTGACAGTTTCTCAGATTTTCCTCATTTTTGATGACCTTGACAGTTTTGAGGAGTGGGGTCAGGATGTTGTAAAATGTCCAGGGACACCATACATGGGTGTCACGTAGGCTGGTGGCAGGTTGGTCCAGGGTCCTTGAAAACCTTGACCCAGACCGATCATGACAAATAGGAGGTTTTCTCTAGGGGTTTCAAAACCATCATGGAGTTTCTTTGCGCCTCCCGAGCTTTGTGGATGTCTTATTTTCTTTCAAGTTTAAAAAATGTTGTCTTTTTCATTTGCAACCAACTGAATTCCAGCTGTGCAGTTAAGGCCGAAGGGTCCCTGGGTTTCACACACCTGACGAACTCCATCTTTGATGGGTGCATCAGGTTGGTGGAACCATGTGTCTATCATATAATTCCTTTCTCTTTGTGGTCCTACTATGTGCTAGGTAGAGAGTGAGCAAAGCAGACGTGATCCCAGCCCTGGGGGCTCATAGTCTGGGTGGAGGAGACCAACAGTTACTCATTCATTCAACAGGTGTTTATTGAGCACCTACTACATACAGATGCAGGCTAGGTGCTGGGGGAACTGGCATCTCTGTGGGGGCTAGAGAAAGGATAAACCTACCAACAAACGTGGAATTGCCAATGGCATTTTGTGTTCTGAAGGAAAGCAGGGGGCCTCTGGGCGGATAACCGAGGGGCCCTAATTTGGTGGTGGATGGGGTGTTGTCAGAGCATCCTCTCGTGTGAAGTGACCGTCTCTGTCAACTTCATCGGGAGTCACATGCACACGCTGCAGTGTGTGAAGGCATCTGAAGCTCCGTGAGTGCTCCCGTGTTTGTGGACACCCAGCTGACCCGGCACCCCGGGACCCCCTCACGCCTCTCCACAGCAGCACCCCCCATACCAACTCCCACCCCCACAGGTTAAGTTTCTCTGTCCTTGAACTTCACATAAATCGGAGCACACGGTGTGTGGCCTCTTCTGTCTGGCTCCTTTCAGCCAGTGTAATGTCTCAGAGATGCATCCACGCTCTCCTGTGCATCAGCAGTTTCTTTGTATCACTGAATTGTAGTCCCCTGTATGGATGTACCACAGTTAGTTTATCCATTCCCCTGTTGATGGCTATTTGGGTTGTTTCCACTTTGGGACTTTTATGAATAATGCTGTTATGAAATCTGCATATAGGTCTTTGCAGAGACAGATGCTTCCGAGGTTGATTCCTAGAAGTGGGCTTCCTAGGTCAAACAGTAAGCGTGTCTAATTTTATAAGAAACTTCTAAACTTTGCCCAAAGTGGCTGCGTGATTCTGTATCCCTGCCAGCAGGGAGAGTCTTCACGACAGCCCTGCTAGTGGGTGTGCGCTGGTGTCTCAGTGCGGCTGTAATTTGTATTCTCTGATGACTCACAGGGTTAAGCATCTGTTCATCTATTTATCGGTCATTGGAATTGACTTTTTTTGGGGGGGGGGGGCACTGAGGAAGACTGGCCCTGAGCCAACATCCATGCCTGTCTTCCTCTACTTTATATGTGGGATGCCTGCCACAGCATGGCTTGCCAAGAGGTGCCATGTCTGAACTCAGGATCTGAACTGGCAAACCCTGGGCCACCGAAGCAGAACGTATGAACTTAACTGCTGCGCCACCGGGCCGGCCCCTGGAATTGACTCTTGTGAAGCACTTGTCACTTCTATCGAGCTGTCTGTCCTTTTCTTACTGATTTGTGTTTATATTTACTGGACACACACTCTTTGTAAAGGAAATGTCATCTCTTGATCTGTGGCTTGTTCTTTTACTCCTTTAATGGAATATTTTTAGGAACAGAAGTGTTTAATTTTACTGAAGTCCAGTTTATCAGTTGCTTTCCTTTATGGCTAGTGCTTTTTGTGTCCTGTTTAAGAAATCTTTGGGGCCAGCCCTGTGGCTGAGTGGTTAAGTTTGCGCGCTTCACTTTGGCAGCCCAGGGTTTTGCCAGTTTGGATCCTGGGCGTGGACATGGCACCACTTGTCAGGCCACGCTAAGGCAGCATCGCACGTGCCACAACTAGAAGGACCCACAACTGAAATATATACAGCTATGTACTAGGGGGCTTTGGAGAGAAGAAGCAGAAAGAAAAAAAAAAAAGACATCTTTGCCTACCTGGATCATGAAGGTCCTTCCTTCTGTCTTCTGGCAGCTGTATTGTTTGGGCCTTCACATTTTGGACCAAGATCCGTCCCCAGTTAGTTCTTGTGTATGGTGTGAGGTCGGGGGTGGCGTGGGGTCCGGGGTGGCATGGGGTTGGGGTCGTGATTCTCCCGGTGGTTCCAGCACTGTCTGCTCGTGTGGCTCTCCTTTCCTAGGGTCGCAGTGCTGCTTTCGTCCTCAGTCCAGCGTCCCTCTGCGTGCTTCTGGACTCTCTCCTGTTCCACTGGCCTATGTGTCTGTCTTTACGCTGACACCTCACTCTCTCAATCGCCAAGTTTCACAGTGAGTCTTGAGGAGGTGACTTTTGAACTGAGATCTTAATCCTGAGTCAAGACTCTGGGCGTTCCAGGCAGAGGGAACAGCAGGGGCAAAGGCCCTGGGATGGGCGGCTGCTTCACATGTTTTGAAGAAAGAATAACAGAAGAGGCCAGTGTGGTGGGAGCACAGGGGAGATGGGGAACAGGGGAGTGTGGCGGGCAGAGGGTCCTTGAGGAGCCAGCATTTTATTGTGAACACCACGTGAAGCTGTCGGAAAAACACCGTGTTCTCATCATTTAAAACAAGTCTCGAGGGTCTGACAGCACAGAAGGCAGAGAGTGCCCCAGCACATGGTCTCATCTGGGGAGGGTGCGGGTCCCTGTCAAACTCACTTTACAAAACAACTTAGCTGCTTAAAATAAACCATCTTGGGAAACCTGGTGTCAGGAGTCAGATGGGCCCAAATTTGAACAGTGAATTCGCCTCTTTCCCAGCTCTGGGGCCTTGGGCAAGTGGCGTCACCTCTCTGAGCCTCAGTTTCCTCTTCTGTGCAATGGGGCTATGCATGGGTCTCGCCCCGTGGGGCTGCGGTGTTTGCTGGGGGAGCACATCGACTGAGTGCCTGGCACAGGGACGTGGCCAGCCCTCCTTGTTCTTGTCGTGGTTGTTCTGGGAATGACCTGGGTGGAGAACACAGATGCACTTCCAGGCCTGGCTGGGAAGCACATCGAGGCCCCTGTTCTTCTCGGGCCCGGACTGGGGGCCCCAGGCAGAGGCCTCAGGGCTCAGAGTGGTGTTCACTAGTCCAGGCTGCCTGGGGCTCTGCCGTTGGCTTGGGGTGGCTGTGTGACCCCAGGTGTCGCCCACAACCTGAGCAGCCCTGGTGAGGCCTGTCCCAGCCCCTCCACAACGTGTCTCGCCTGACAGGTTCCCGTGGGTTCAGAACCATCCAGGGCCGTTCCTGGATGTTTCCGGGAATGTTTGCCACTGTCCAGTCTCGGGGCCGAGGACACTCAGACTGTAAGCCTCACGCGCCTGCCAGGTGGGCACCCCCGGCCTCTGACCTGAGTTGTCTAGGGGATGCTCACTTTGGGATGGCTCCCGTGACTCCCCCGCTTCAACCAGAAGGACAGGACGGTCTGACGGCCGGTGGGTGGCGAGGGGCTTGAGCTCTGGATTTGCACCTGAGCTGTCACCTGAAGGGTCCGCAGCGCTGGCCCGAGAGTCCCTTGCTGCCCAGAGTGGGAGGAGTCTTGGAAGACAAGAACTGAGACAGGGTAGCTGCCCAGGGACATCACCCAGGCCTCCGCCAGGCAAATGCCATCCAGAATCTGTGGCCAGGGGCCGGGGGCTTGTGGCTCAGCCTCGCCTGGAGCAGGCTTCCAGCTCAGCCTCTGACCTGCAGTGTGGGCCTGAGCTGGTCACTTCCCCACTTGGAACCTCAGCCTACTCATCTGTGAAGTAGGGGCGATGGCAGCAGCCACTCAAGGGACCTTGTGAGGGCTGTGTGGGAGGGAGCTCCTTGTTACCGGGGGTATCCAAGCGGAGGCCACAGCCAGGCTGCTGCGGGGGGGCTGGAAGGCAGCTGCCGGAGACATCTGTGGCTATTTCCCAAGGTCCGACGCTGGGTAGAGAAGTCGTGGTTTTCTCTGGTTTCAGTGGCATCCCTGTAGGTGGGCAGGAGGTGAGGCGACCCTCCCTTCCGCCGTGCACTGGCCCTCAGGGAGGCTGGGCATTGCCACCAAAGGCCCTGTGGCAGGAGGTGACGTCTGAGATGAGAGAAGGTGCTGAAAGATCTGGGTGAAGGAATCCTTGGCTGAGGAAATGACACGCGCGAAGGCCCTGGGGTGGGTGCGAGCCAGGAGACTTTGAGGCACGAGCAGGTGGCCTGGGCCTGGAGTGGAGGGAGCAAGGAGGGTGAGCTTGGGAAGGTGGTGGGGCTGGGTTCAGTGATGCCTGGGGTCCACGGTGAGGACTTCAGGTTCCACACTGAAAGCAGTGGGAGCACTGGGAGGATTTAGGCCCAGACAGGCTGAGGTGCTTGCCAACACCACCCACAGTGAGAGCCTCTGGAGGAAGCCTCTGGGGCTGCCTGTGGTCTGGCGTCAGGCTGGCAGTGCAGAATGGGGCATGATTCTTCCCCTGGAAGACCCTCTATCACCACATCCACTGGTCCTGTGGCACCTCCCCCCTCAGGCATCTCTGAGCCTGGGGCTGGGCTCGGAGTGGGGAGCACTATGTCCACCACCTTGAATGGGCACCTACTGTGGCCAGGCACTGCTCTAGACGCTGGACGAGTCCTTCCCATGAAGTTGAGTTCACTGGCCCATCTGACAGATGAGGAAACCGAGGCTGGCAGAAGCAGAGGGACTCCCTCAGGGTCACACAGCGAGGGAAATCTGAACCCCTGAGCCCATGGGGCCGCTACTGCCCAGCCGCAGCCACACTGTCCAACCAGCTCCCTCCAGCCGGGCCAGGCCCGACACGTGCCATCCCACTCAGCAGTTAAAAGAAAAACAAGAAAGTCGATTGGTTGCCAATATTTAAAAACATAAAATGGAGAGACTTCACAAAAGAATCCAGATTTCTGTTTCTCTTAGAAAATCAGTGGGTCTGGCAGTGCTGGGCAGCATTCCTGGGAGTGGCGCCTGGCTGGGCCCTGCCGGAGCTCTGCAGCAGGGGCCTGCCCTGGGGTGGTGGGGGTCCCGGTGGGGGAGAGATTGCAGAAGCGGCTGCCGGGCCAGGGGTGGCTGGTCGGGGCAAGGCCTTCCTGGGAGCTGGGACTCCATTTTCAAATGGAGCATAAACAGGCTGGCCAAGGCCCTGGGCCAGCCCTTTGCTCTTTTTGGCCTCAGTTTCCCCATATGTCCAGGCCTGGGTTAGCTGGAATGTTCTCAGAGCCCTGCCAGCCCTGCGGGGTCTGGGGGCTGAGCTTCAGTTCCTCTCATCTGTACAGAGAGGGAGATAACGGAGTTCTAGCTACTGTTGAAAAATAACTCTTGAGCCAACATTTATTTGGCACTTGTTGTATGCCAGACACTTGGCTGGCCTGGCTGCATTTAATCCTCCAGCAGCCCTCTGATGGAGCTGCTGTGTTACTGCTATTTCACAGATGGGGAAACTGAGGCCAAAGAGAGGGTAGGCGACTTGCCCAGGGTTGCACAGCTCTTGAGTGGCCAAGATGGGACTGGAACCTGTGCCAAAGTCTGCAGGAGGACTTGCTGTCACCCTTGGTGGGGTGGGGGTTAACCGGCAGCTGTCTGGGCGGAAGCATCTGTCTGGGGCACCAGGAAAGGCTCCCTGTGGCCATCTTGTCCAGTGCAACCATTTCACAGATGGGGACACCGGGGCCTGAGCGCCCACCTCAGCCAGTGTGCCCTGCCCTTGGCCTCTGCTGCCCAGCCTGGAGAAGAGCAAGGGGAGGGGTGGGAAGATACCTCAGGGGACAGCATACAGCCCTGAGCCCCCTACCTGTACCACAGTCCTCCGATATCCCCAGGAGGAAGGGCCTGCTTGGGACTGGCTGGGCCTGCTGGTCCTAGGAGTGGCTGTGGGCTGGGCCTGCGGGGCAATGTGGTTCAGAGCCTTCCTACTCGGTTCCTTCTGAGCTGGGTGTCCTTGGGCAAGTGACTTGGCCTTGCTGGGCCTCAGTTCCCTCATCTGGAAAATGGGGATGGTCCCCAGCCTGCCTGTGGGGCAGTGGCCATGCTGGGGAGGCACAGATCTGGGGGGTGCCGACTGGGTGGGTGGGGGCAGCCCGGCCGTGCATCCAGCAGCTGACACTCTGGGGTGCCTGGAGCGAGCCCCGGCCGCCTTCAGGGCAGAGCCTGAGGACCGTGGGTGCAGCGGCCTGGGCAGGTGGCCTGGTGGGCGGGAGTCCATGGCTGGAAAGCCTGGGGCCCGGTGGGCTCCTCTCCAGGGCCCGGGTGGTACTGTCATGGTGCCGGCTTCACAGCTGAGGAAACTGAGGCCTGGGGTTGGGGCTGCATGGAGTGTGGGAAGGAGGAAGCCGACAGAGGCCGGCGGTCTCCTCCCCTCCCGGAGGCAGGAGCGGGCACCGGGGCTGGGCAGGAAGCGGTGGGCGGCGCAGCCCTCTGGCCTGTGGACCGGCTGGAGCCCTGCCTCTGCCGCTGCGCCGTGCCCTCGGGGCCTCGCTTCCTCGGAGGAGCAGCTGGGTGATGCCCCTTCCCGGGTGCCCAGAGCTGGCCCAGCATGCCGGGCCCCCACGAAGCTTAGCTGCTGCAGTCATTGTTATTTTCATAGTTGTTTTCAACGTGACAGGCACCGCATTTGACACATCTTAAGGAGTCACCACAAACCCTGGTAGTGGGGACAGTGATGAAGCCATCTCACCGATGAGGAAACCGAGGCACAGAGACGTAGAGAGACTTACCCAAGGCTACACAGCTGGGAGGTGGAACAGCCAGGGCCAGGAGTTTGTGTTAAGGCCCCAAGACAGGTGGGGAAACCACCCACCTCCACCTGCAGCCCAGTGGATCTTTGAGGGCCACACAGAGCCCCGACGTCCCAGTGGGGAGATAGACAGGATCGTTCAGGCTGGTGGCTCCCAAGTCCCACCCTCTCCGGAAGGAGCACAGGGTTCTGCCCTGGGCTGCTCTGTGACCCAGGTGGGCCCCGGCCCCTCTCTGAGCTATGAAATGGGCAACAAGCAGCTTGAAGGGGCCTTCCAGGACTGGTGGGGGAAGGCAGGGGGGTGGGCAGGACTCCCGTGGGCCCCCGACCGCATGCAGCGCCCCGCGTGCCCCTTCCTGGGGTTCCGTGTAAGATCACTTTTGAAAAGTGCTCTGCCGCTTAGGAGAAAGCCCCGACCGCGCTGGAACCGCGGGCAGATGCTATCGGCGCTTCCTCCAAGCTCCAGTTCTCTGAACCCACCACTAGAAGTGGCCCTGGATCCAGTGGCGGGAGGGCAGCACTCGGCACCCATGCACCAGCCCCTCCCGCGCCTCCAGCCCCCCGGGCCTGTTTGCTGTCGCTGGCCTCTTGGAAGCTGGTCTTCTATTTTTGCTTGTTT